GGGAAACTCCCCGGACAAGTTTGCATGCTCTTTTCAGGATCTCGGTTTGGGCGAGAGCGTCTGCTACCACTAATTCCGAGTTGAAGGTGATGAGGATGCCCACCTTCGTCTTCTTAGATTTGGACATCAGCCACGACGCTCCGATTTGTTTGGGTAGGGATGGCGCTGTGAGGCTTTTCAAAAGGGTTTCGGCTGCCTGAACCGGAGAATTGAACTTGGGGAAACTACCCCAAAATATAATCCGTTTGGCGCTAATGGCCGCTGATTCTAGTTTGGCTGCAGTGTTGAATATCTGTTTCTTCGATAGCGCGATCGCCTGGCCTGCGGCAGCACATGCTGGGAAGTTATCCTTAAATAACGCTGTCAGGTGACTTAAATCGTTATCTAGTGCCGAGACTTTTCCACTCAGTTCGTGTATAAACGAACCTTGCAGGTCAAGAGCGACTAGCGCCGCTTCTAGCGCTATTTGGGTGCTAGCCCAGTCGCTGGTTTCAGCCACCTCATAAAGTATTTGGGGATTTCCCGCTTGGGTAAACTGTCCTCGTCGGAGGACTCAGAGAGTTCATAATACATAGTTAAAGGGTAGTAGTAGTAAAATATAAATCGTCATGGAATAAGGTGGAATAGAGTTAGTTTAGGGTGGCCACAATTAAGGATATAAGCAAAGATGTACAGAAAAACACTTAATAAAACGTAAAAATGCGAACTGTCGATCCACGACAGATTTTCAACCGCGCGCGGTCAAGGTCAAACGAAACGGAGCACCCTGACAACTACGTGCTCATTAGTGTTGAGCCAAGATTGGTGGTTTCTTTAGAGGATGAGTTAGTAGGTGTCCGAACTTTTGTGTCGGCATCAGAATTTTTCGATTGTCCGTTTCCATCCTCACATTTGGGTATATACTTGTGTGACTCTCTAATCGAGTCAATCAAACACTATCAGATTGAAAAAATATCCTGTAAATGTGTTCTGATACCTTATGAGAACGCGTATGTATTCTACCCAATTATTCACATTTGGCGCTCTTGACTGTAAGATATCAACATACTTATGATCATTCTTATACTGACAGATGTTTTACGTTGTTGAGTTCGCCTCGGAGGATACGGTGGCAGTAGTTCCTGCCTCGTGGATGGTCGGCCCTGATAGAGCTAAATGGCCGACACACGGTATGTTCAACATCGAACGTATCGTCAAACGGGGTTTATCACTACCACCCCGGTGCACAATTCACAAAGTAACAGTGTATAAAGTAGTCTGTAAGTGAATTTGATTTGAAATTTTAGATAACTTCGAGGAGGCTAAGACCATTTCCAACTACCTACTTGAGCATACAAATATCTTGTCGTCTGATGCCACAATTCCCATGGATCGGCACAGGAAACGAAAACCGTAAGTGCTCTTGGTTTTATGGAACTATGTAACTATTAGAAAGCCGGTTGTGTACTCCGAGACAAGTTCAGAGGAGGCTGGCACAAACAGACAGCCCACCAATCTTGATGCCTCCACACCTCCGCCACTAATCGATGACATGTCTGAATACGTGTCAACGCAAAAACCACTGAAAGACATAAGCGGTCTCAGCAATTTGTCAAGTTTGTTCGCAGAACACACCCGACCTTGCTCCATACCCATACGCGTGCAGCGTTTGGACGTTAAACAGCAAGCAGTACATTCAAAAATTAACAAATTGCGTTTAGTACCAGCTTTCGGAATTTCACACATGAGAATACGCCGTAAGTTAACATCAAATTTCCAATTACTTGTTTTATTTCAGACCGGTTAACATTCCATCTCATCGGGAGGCACGTAAGCATGTTAGCCCTTATTGCCGAATCGACATTGATTTCCCATGATTATTTTACTCCGATGTCACCTATTTTTTCATAGATCCCTACGTAAATCGGAAAGCAGACATGCAGTACCAAGTTCCCATGGTAGTGGCCAAGTAGAGAATTTAGGGGCAAAAGACCACCTACTCAGTAAGTTGCTAATGTTTTCTACATTTTTTTCAAAAGGTGCCGTGAAAGAACTAACCGTTCAAGTCGTTGCGATTTCTGAGGGACAAAAACGTCTTGAACGGAAATTCAACGAGACCCTCGATCAATTGAAAAGCAGGAACGACGTTCCCATTGTGAATTGTCGCATATCTGCGAAAACTGCATCGGATCTGAACGATCTGATCCAGAACATGGAAGACGAATCGTTTTACGGGGATCTGGTGTGTATTCATTTACTAATTATACTGCATTGCAGGATAAGTACCTTTCACGTGTTAGAGCAGATTCCGTCGGTCACTGCGTCCGCGCAATGTGCAAACTTCTGCTGGCCGATAATTTGTGCTTCAGCAAAAACTGGAGAGGCTCCAATGGAAAAACGGAGTTGTGCAACACCAAAGTTGCCAAACTAATATACGTTAATGGTTATACTTTCACTAATTGATAGATAGACGCCATAAGAAGGAAAGGAGTATTCGTCAGCGATCTGGACGTTATCAAGGGTAAGATGCAGCGGTGGATACAGAGGACAAGACAGTCGGTCAGTGAATCTGCCGACAACTGTCCTTATTCAGATCAGGGTGTTCAGTGTCCATGGTATGTATTTTGTGTAATTTCATTTGATAAAAGGTATAATAATGCGTTATTACATGTACTGTTTATTTACTACATAGATTTGCAAATAATTATGGCTAAAAGACGTGTCATTGATCTTGTTTGCATTGCTTTTCATTCCTTACTTTAATAATTATTCCGTTTGTTTTGAAACAACATGATTCATTTTTATTCTTTCTTGGCATTTTCAGATGTAAATGGCCGAGGAAGACTAATTTGCCTTCCGGAATTCCTTTGTATAAATACAACTGTATAATAAAAGCTGCTTTTCATTTCGTCTTTGCTTCTTATTTTTTTCTCCATGGGTGTTGCTTGGCGAATAGAGACACTAAATATTGTTCCTATCAATATTGGACATCGAGCTTTAGGTTTAGCTGCGTAACAATGGAAACCCTAAGGTATAGTGGTGAGGTATTTCTAGAATAATTGCGCGATTGAAGTTAGACAAACGTTTGAAGCAATAGATAGTGGGGAAAGGTCGGATTAGACTGCGTGATTCGAACTCTAGGATATTTGACGTCGATCGGTCTCTGGGTTTTTAAGGGCTGGGAATCCGAAATAAGTGAGCGTCATAGCTTTAGCCTCCAGCGTCATCACAGCAGGCTTCAACTTCGAGCAAGATTCTTCACCAACAGGGCGATCCCAATGTGGAATAGGCTGCCAGAACACGTGGTTAGATGCAGCACAGTACTGGCATTTAAGACCGCACTGGATGAGTTTTGGAGAATAGTCTACCCAGAAGCGGCCTATTGAGATGTAAGAAGCTAGCCAGTAATGGTTTACGTTACAGATGTGAATGTATGCTAGAAAAAGGTGCTTTCTGTTAGGTATTTTCTGTGAATCTACCAGGTGTCAACATTTTACATTTTACGACAATTCCGCCAGGTGTCAATGGTCAGGATCAAGGTCATCCATACTAACCTATGGCAGCTTGGCCCAGGCCTAGACCGCTGAGCCTCATCTGTCTTTTTTTCAGAAACACCCTGTTGGGAACGTACACTGAAGACAGAGACAACTAGACCCACCAAGGTCGATGGCTAGAATCGGCAATACGCAGTGTTGGAAGCTACAAACACCCGCCAACAACACAACAATCTGGACGCTCGATTGGCTGGAAGATACATTTCGTCCTGTGCATACTGTACTGAACTGAACTTAAGGTAGTTCAGTGAAAGAAGGCTAGTGATTTTTCCGTGAAAATAAGATTGGAAAGGTACTACGATTAGCTGCCAAATTTATTTTCGACAGTCACCAATTTTTCTCGATGGTTACTGTTACGTCTGCTTCAGTTCGTAATTCCAATACGCGTACGAGTAAACCCAATTTTGTGATCTAATACAAACGAGCTTGATCAACAAGCTAACGACCGATCCGGAACAGGAACGAACGATCTTTAACTGTCTCAACGAACGATCCCGATCGAATGAACCCAATACGAACGAGAAGTGAGCGCAAAAATTCAACGCCTAGACCACGACGATTTATACGGTATCTATAAAAGGTCGTAACCAAATAATACAAAAAATGTAAAACATACTTGGATGTATGCTCACCCAAGCAGAACGCAGGAATCGACTGAAACAGGAAGAAGGCTCAACCGAGCTGACAAAGCAATATGTCCGGCCCTACGTCAGTAAATGTTAAATTGATACATTTAAACAAACATGAAGTTACAGACGATAAGGAGTATAAATTGTAAGAATTAAGCGGGAAAAGGAGGAAAGAGAGAAATCCTTTCAATTCATCAACGGTGCATTGACTGCCGTTACAGGTACTAATCGGTGAATCTCGCGTGACGAAACGGTGCGTTTTCGATGACTAAACGGTAACGCTCGTGCATTTTTCAATCTTTAGTTAGCCTATATTAGTGTAGTAGCACTATTAGCGTCCTTATTTTAGCGTTGCTATATTGTACTCGTATTAGGCTAAACGTTTTTGTCATTTTTGAGCGTCATGTTTCGTACAACTTATACACTGCGTAGACTCTTTTAGAGCAGGTGGAAAAATATTTAATTGTTTTTCAATTGTCATAGCCTTTTTTAACATGCCACGTGTGTCTTATGCATGCCTGAATTTATCGTGTGGTAGACGGGTGGTCACAGGTATAGAACGCAGCAAATGCGAGCATTGGGCACAAGTTTGCTCGAAGATCTCAAGCGAGCTATTCAAACTACACAGCAACTACGTAGGTCTTCTGTGGATCTGCCAAGGATGCCGAGAGACTGCAAAATCTGCATTAAAAAGCAGCCAGAATTCCTTGCAAAAGGGTGGGGACATGCATGGGTAAACGCTACGCGTAAGCGAGTCGTCACTCAAATCACCACCAGGCCAACCAACCAACGCTACCCGGAAAACACCACGCAACGATAAAGATAAATCGTCGATTCTGAGGAGCCCTTTGGATCATTCAACACCCAAGACCCACACCGCGAGTCCGAAAAAGACTCGCAACAGCAATCANNAATCAGCCCGAACCAGCCATACTCCGAACCAAGCAGAGTATACAAGAGACGACACAGGGTCAACCAACAGTTGTCCCTCAGAACCAAACTGTTGTGAAACAACAAAACAACAGTTTCATAAAATCAACCGCGCCTGTTTCAACGCGTCAGCCGACTCAACGTGCTGGACAATTCAATAGAACCAAGACAATTCCGAAAGAGACCGGGGAAAACAGAGGAAACCCCAAGCCCAAAAAGGACAGCCGCAGAGTAAATCAGCAACCCACAGGTTTGCGGACGGGTGCCCCGCCTGATAGTTTCAAGGCAGCTATCTCTCGACTAGAGAAACAATAAGTTAGAATTGAGAACTTGGCTCGCCACATACAAAAGCAACTCATAGAGATCCAGAAGCTCCACGTGTCCTACGAGTCCACCTTAGGCAGGACACGCAACGTGATCATCCACGCCCCAAAGCCAGTTATCTTCAACACCGCTCAACGAATCGCCGCAGAGAAAAT